GGTGAATGGTTGTTAAATGGGGCTTGGGTGAGGGAGGGAGAAGGAGGGGAGGGGGGAGGTGTGGGAGGGAGAGTGAGGAGAGGGACGGGAGATTGGGTGAGAGTGAGGGAGGGAGGAGAGAGGCGTGGAGGGTGGAATCGTGGAAGGAAGGGAGGGAGGGGTGAGGGAGGGGACGGGAGATTGGGTGAGAGTGAGGGGGGAGGAGGAGGAGAGTGTGGGAGGGTGAGGGAGCAGGGTGAGAGAGGGGGAAGGGAGGAGGAGAGATGTGGGAGGGAAGGGATTGAAGGGAAGGAAGAGGAGAGGCGTGGAAGGAAAGGTCAGGGGGGAAGGGTGAGAGAGGGGCAAGGTAATTCATCAGTTTGGGAAATAGCAAGGGTCGAGATTGGTGGGTAGCTAGAGCAAATGAGGAACTTAATAAGGGTAATGAGGAAATTAACTGATAAAGAGATAATCAACAGATGGATTGTATTGATATTTTATCTTTCCGTTGGTTGTTACAATGGAGAGGCTTATTTAACCAAGTGTATATGAGTGAAATATTTACCCAACTTGCACGCACACATACATATCTATTCATCTGTTTGTTTGTTTGTCTATCTATCTATCTATCTAAACAAACAAAAAACAAACAAACAAACACAGACACACACACACACGCACAACCAAACATATCCTCAGATCCGATATGTATGTCCACTCTGCTTACGTAAGTGACGCCAGGCCACTCCACAGCTGACAAGGTGATGGTCTGGTTGCAGGCCCCTTTGCCCAGGGAACGCGAAGGGCAGAAGGAAGTGGGTAGCTGGATATCTCCGCCGCCCTTCGTCACCGCCACCTTCATGCCGGTGCTCAGCATTTCCTCTGTAACTCTAGAAGCGAGTGCGGATGAGGATGTGAATGATGAGGATGATGATGAGGATGTGGAGGATGTGAGGATGAGGAGGAGAGGAGGATGAGGAAGACGAGACGAGGAGGACACGGGTGTTGGTTGAGGCTGTCGTTTGGTTTGTTAAGATTGTCGAGGCCCAATTGAACGAATATTCAAGTATAAGGACCTGCATATGCACAAAAATAAATGCATATCTATCAGTTTAGCCATGCATATCTACCGGATAGATGGACAGATAAGTGTATCTCTATCACACAGACAGATATGCCTCTATTTCTGTATATGCATGTCCGTATATACGAACATTTTTTTGGGACGGGCCTCTAACAATGTAAACAAACCGGCAGTGTGAGTTGATTGGTTCATTATTTTTATCGAATTTCTGGTCTGTCCGTTGTATGAGTAGGAGACAGATTGGCCAAGCGAAGAAGAGATACTTACATACGTATATACGAATTAATATCTTTGTGGAAGTATACTAGATCATTGTAGAAATAAAAGGTTGCTTTAGAAACGCACTCTCCCACACAAAATAGTTCTTACATACCACCATATACATAAACAGACGAGTAAAATACCTTGATGTAATCATTATAAAAGATGGAGCCGAAAGATGGAACTATACAGGCAGAAGGAAATGAACAGAATCGAGTCAAAGAATCAACAAATAACAAATAATATCCTCACTCACTTGGCGACCATCATGGAGGCGCCGTTGGGAGCCTGGGCGAGGACCACCTCCCCCTCGACGCTCTTTGCCTCCACGCTCCTGCCGATGTTCTTCACCAAGTTCATCATTCGGGATACCTGTGGGAAGAAGGAGCGCGTTAACAGCTACGTGGAAGGAGTGGAATGAGGGAGAGGAGGGGGGAAGAGTGGGGGAATGGTGTAACAAATACGTAGGATAAGAGAGGACAGAAAATGATAGAGCAAGGAGGGTAAGAATGGACGACTTAGAGAGTGAGAAAGATGTAGGACGTGTGGAATTCATGTCGAACAAAATGCAACAGGAACACCGAATGGAACAAGAAGAAGACACAGGAATATGCCGAAGGAATATTCGCTATATTGCGAAAAGACCTTCGGCATATTCCTGCGTTTTCCTGTTCTTCCCTTCGTTGTTCCTTTTGACATAGGACATGTTATATAATGTTATGAAATGTTGTAAAGTTATGTTATGTTCGGATAGGTTATGTGAATTCTAGCGCTATAGGAGATAAATAGGCTTACAATTATGCACCTAACTTTAACACAAACAAATCTCATATGAAATCAAGCACAGAATTAACTAGATAAAAGAACTCCAACATCAAAATTCTTTGTGGAGTGAACTGACTCTTACGTGCAACACTATAGACTTTTTTATAAACTGAATCAATCCGACTGACCTTTGTGAAATGAACTGACTTAAAACGCTTCCGTAAAAACCTATAGATTTTCTGATGAACTGGACCAACCCGACTGACCTGGTCTTTCGCTCTGAGCTTGGTTGTGTCCAGGACGTTCTGTTGCAACATCACCTCTCGACTCAGCGGAATCTCCATGTTCACTGTAAAAGAGATTTCGCAGCGTAGGTACTGGTGAACGAATAGAGTCGAAGGAACATGTCAGTTCAAATCCTTATCTCACATCACGTATGTCACAGGCATCACTATATACATCACTCATTGTATCACAGACATCAATTACGTCACCACCTACGTCATATGCATTGTATCTTTCCCATACATCATTCATAACATACGTCACAAACATTACCGCATACTTCACCTCATACGTTACATACATCAAATGCATCACATTCACCACACACACACCATCCTTTGTATCACACACATTACCACTTGCATGACATACATCAACGCAATACATGTCACTACACAGATCACATACAACACTACATACATCACAACTTAAATTACCATATACCTAACATACACCACATCTCCCACATGCATCACACATAATACCTACACACACCCACATCTCCCGCATGCATCCACACCAATATCACCAAATCCACATACATCACATACAATCACTCACCCCACCACAACACCCCACCCACATCCCCCCACACCACACATACCTCCAACACACCACACCACACTCACACCCACACCATCCCCACATACCACAAATCCCACCCCCACCACACATCCCCACACACCACCACACACATCACCACAGTCCCCACCACACACATCCGCAAATACACAATTACATCGGCACACATCCCCCACATACATCACATACAATACCACGTCCCCTACCACACACCACACGCCCCCACCACACACACCCGCCAACAGACACCGCCCCGCACAGCCTCCTTACTGTCACTGCCGATGTCCACCTCGTAGTCCCAGTCTCGGGCCGCGTCCACGTCGGTCGGGGGCACGTTGTTGACGTTCTTGCCCGACAGGATCTCGGTCACGCCCTTGGGGGGAGGAAGAGAGTAAGGGGACGTGGATAAGTGGAAGGGAATTAGGGGAAGGGTTGATGATGTGGGAATGGAAGGGAGGGAGAGAGGAGGAGGGAGAGGGAAGAAAAGAGTGAAGGGGCGTGGATAAGTGGAGGGGAATTAGGGGAAGGGGTAGATGATGTGGGGATGGTGACAGGGAGGGAGAGAAAGAAAGGAGGGGGAGGTAGGGGAAGGAGGAGAGGGAACGAAATGAGGTGAAGGGGCGTGATAAAGCTGCGAGTGGAAAATAGAGGGAGGGTAGATGAATGTGGAGATGGGAGGGCAGGAGAGAAAGAGTAGTAGGAGAAGGGAAGAAGGAAGGGGGGAAAGGGAGAGAGGTGACGGAGAGCGGATAGAGGGTAGAGAATGAAGGAGAGGAGAGAAGGAGTAGGAGAGGGAGCGAGAGTGAAGGGAGAGAGGGAGAAGGATGGAGAGAAAATGAGTGAGAGGAAGAGAGAAGCAGGAGAAGGGAGAGAAGAAGGAGAGGGAGAGGAGGAGGAGAGAGAAGAAGGAGAAGAGGAGAGGAAAAAGAGGAGAGGGATAGTTCGTTTGTCACGCCCTTGATTATAGAGAGGAAATGTAGGATGTAAGTAGAAGAACATTGATACAGAAGGGAAGAATTATGGATATAGGATAAATGGGGGGAGAGGCAGATGAAATAAAGGAGTATGGATAAGTGTAGGACATAGGGGAGGAGGTGGTTGAAGTGGAGATGAGAGGGAGAGAGGGAGAGAGAGAGGGAAGGAGAGAGGGATGGTGAGAGAGAAAAACGAGGGGAGAGGGATGGGTAGAGACGGGGAGGGAACGAGGGAAAGACGGAGAATGAAAGAAAGAGAGATAGGAACACAGACAAACAAAAAGAGAACGAGGGAGAGATGGAGAAAGAAAGAAAGAAAGGAGAAAAGAAAGAAGGAAAAAGTAACAAGAGTCAGACAAAGAGAGACAAACAGAACAACAAAACACACATAGAAACCCAGTCAACACACAACAGACAGACAGACAAACAGACAGACACCCACGACATAATAGACCCCATGGCACACAGCGACGAGGACAGGAAGGGGACCATGTCCTGGGGTGAAGTCAGCTCGATGTCCTCCACGCTGGCTGACAGTTTCTGCGAAGTTAAAGTTATTGCTATTGTTGAATTATTATTATTGTCATTGTTATTATTTCTGTCATTATCAATTTTGTTCTCATCCTTCTTTTTATTACTATTATTATCATCATCATCATTATTATTACCCTTATTATTATTGTAATCATCATTATTACTATTCTATTATTTCATTGTTTCATCATTCTTCATCACATCATTATCATTTTTAGATCATTGTTCATTTTATCATTATCATTATCATTATCATCATCATTAATATTTTCATCATCAGCAGCATTATTATCATTATCATTATCATATCATCACCATTTTATAATCATACACTTCACACACACACGGTCTATTAAAAAGCACAAGGGCTGATAACATTACTATTTTACCTGGATGAAATAAAAATAAAGCTTTAATTTTCTTTTCTTTAATTTCCATGCATCTATTCACCCACTCATCCACCCATATATTCATCTCCTCATCCATCCATCTACATATCTATGAATCCACTCATCTACCTATCCACCAATCTCCTAATCCACCTATCCACTAAACTCATCCATCTATACACTAATCTCCTCATCCACCTATCCACTAATCTCATCCACCTATCCATTCATCCACTCATCCATCATCAACCTATCCACTCAACTAGTTATCCATCCATCCACCAGTCCATTCACCTATTCATCCACTCATCATCCACCCATTCTCTAATCTTCCCATCTACGTGTCCACTCAACTATTATCATTTTCCTCACTCGTCTAGCCACCCATCTACTCACTCAATTACCTATCCCTTCATCCACCCGGACACCCACCCTCCCATCCTTTCATCCACCTACTCATCCCCCACCAAGTCATCCACCCATCTACCCATCCCTTCACTCCACCCGGACACCCACTACAATATCCTTTCATACCACCCAGGACCACCATCTACCATCCCTTCATCCACCTACCCACCCCTTCATCCACCTTACTCACTCCCCCACCTACCCATCCCTTCATACCCACCCTTCATCCACCTACTCATCCCCCCACCTACCCATCCCTTCACCCACCCACACACCCATCCCTTCGTCTACCCACCCAGCCCTTCATCCACATCCACCCCATCCCTTCATCCACTCCTCCACCCTGACACCCACCTCCAGAAACTCGAGCGCCGTTATCCTAGCCTCCATGTCCACGGTCTTCGACGCCGCAGCGGACTTAGTGATACCTGGGCAGGAATAGGAATATAAATAAAGTAATACCTGTAATATTTGATTATTTTGTCTCTTTTTTTTCTTCTTTTTGTTGTTGTTCAAGTGTTCTGTAGGTCCTGGACTTAAGGATGCTTGTATAGTTAATGTTTTTTTTCTGTAATTATGACATTCTTTTGTTCAGATGCTTGTATTACTATGTAAATTTCAGTTTGTTGCACAAAACTCGTTTCATGAATTCGTTGGTGTTTCCCCCTGGTACTAATTGAATTCAGTGCTTGTAAATTCTAAATAAGAAGTATCGTATCAGGATTCTGATGCTGACCGAAAAGCTTCTAAATACTGTCACTGAAAAAAAAAACTCACGAAAAAGAAATTAAAAAGACTCGCGAATTCTCAAATCGAATTGAATGTTTTTACCCTTATAAAATCCATTCCTGAAACAAACGTTCCTACATTCCGATACAGAATTAAACACTCATGGAATCTCAAACCGAATTAAACGCGTCTGAATTCCCTCGTTGCTGAAGTGAGCACCTACTTCCCTGACGCCCTTACCCTCTGTGGCTGCCCTGAGCACTCCAGCACCCACGTTCAGCTGACTCAGGGTTGAAAAGGACATGGTTTCCATCGCCGTCTGGAGAGCGCCTTTGTTCATCTGGGGAGTGAGAGGATAATCATGTATTTCTATGCTGTGTTTTGTTCTCGAATTATCATTTATATATGCGGCGGTTACTGTAGGGCTTAGACATGTATAAAGGAATAGTCTACCCCTGTATATACAGACACGAACACGAACACAGATACAGAAAAACACACACACACAAACACACACATACACACGCATAAGATCCCCTCCAACTTCGACGCACAAACCTTGGTAATATCTCGAAGTCTGAGGTCTGTCTCCTCCTTCGTCAGGTTCCCGAGGGCGTCCATGTCGAGCGAGAGCCAAGTAGCATGTTCTCTCACCGAGGACTGCGCCGTCAGCATCATCCCGACCTTGAACTGATCCCCGATAGCCGAGAGGTATTCAATCTTTTCGGCGGCGTTGAATTCCTCGACGTCCTCTTGCGTTGGCATCTCCACCTATTGAGATAAAAAGGGAGATTGAGACGTCTGAAATAGGGCTTGGCGGTACTAGTTCTTAGTCTACGGAGCAACTTCATAATCGAGAGTTTGAGAATTCTGATTGGATTTTGTCTCATCCCGGAGAGACCATATTATTTCACGTGGCTATGAAATGAAATCTCTAAATTGGATGTTCTTGTCCGATGGGGATTGGTAATATTACGGTATTCCTAAATTATAATGAGTAAATTTAAAGACATGAGTAAACATCGAGTGTCAAGAAAATAATAATCTATTGCTCGCGGATCACAGACTAGGAAAAGCTGTCGTAGAAAACTTTGATTTAATTCAATATCAAACCAAATCTTACTTTTTTCTCTTTAGCTGTTAGAAATCAGACACAACAGACCGTAAATGCACGAACAAGCCCTTAACCAATGTAGATAAAATTGTCGCTTTTCAATACCTGAATCGTGTCAACCACCACCTCGGCGTAGGTGCCAAATTTGTCCCAGATTTCGCACATGATGGTAAAGTCTCCGAGTGGGAGGATGAGCTCCGCCTTGGGCTGCGCGGTGGCCACAATAGTCCGCTTGAGAGGAGCTCCGTCTGTGGGCTCGTACACTGTGGGAAAAGGAAGGCAATGGAGATTGTACAAAGGCCCTTACAATAGGTCTCTCCTTAATGTGATTTTCTATCCTTTGATGCTGGAATCTAAAATCCTTTTTGGAGTGAGAGGTGTGGACACTTCTCTGAGGCTCTTAAGTCAAGTCCATAATACTATTTATAACACATTAAAATCAAGTACTGTAACTTACTGCATTTTTTTTCTAAACGTGATAAAATTTACTAATCACGGAACATAGAACAAAATACTTAACAAATCGAGCCTCAAAATTCCATCATCGAAGCAGGGACTAAAAAAAAGAAAAAGAAAAAAACAAAAACTAAAGAAGCAAAATCAAGATAAAAACAAATACAAACAAAAAATAAAAAGTGAATGAGCACAGCCCCCGAGGGGTCAAAGAACTTACTGAAGAAGGAGTACAGGTCGACGCCCGCTTCTTCTGGGTCTTCCCAACCGTGGCACTCCACCAGGAAAGTGTCCACCATGACTCGACCCACAGGAGGAGTCACCGTGCAGTCCCCTCCCGTCGGCGGCTTGTTCATCACTAGCGTCATCACGTAGACTCCTGTAGAAGAGGAAGAGCAGGAGAAGTGGGCGATGAGTAGAGGGAGGAGTGGAGGGAGGGAGGAAGGGTTTGGGATGGGGAAAGGGAGGGGGAGATGGAGGAGCAGGAGAAGGAGAAGGAGAAGGAGGAGGAGAAGTAGGAGGAGGAGGTTGAGGATAGGGATGGGAGGTGGAGGAGGATGGGGATAAGGTGAAGTAGGAGGAAGGAGAGAATGACGAAGGTGTTAGAGATTACAATCACGATTATAATCATCATCATCATCATTACCATCAAGAGAATAAACAAGACCAAAAAACACAAAGACAACCCGCCCCCCAAAAAAGGAACAAAAACATTCATCCAAGAGGAGAGAAAAGAGACCCAAGACCCAACAGAGAAGATAAGGATGACCCCCGTGGAAAGAGGAAGCGCCTCCTTACCCGCGGAACCAGTAGGCGTGTGTACTTGAAGTGTGATCTTGTATTCCTCAAGTGTTGGGTTGACGGCGAAGAGTTCGTTCCCTATGGCGATGTCCTTCGATGCCTTGCCCGTTGGGATGACTAGGAGGAAGGAAAAGAAGTATTTTCGTGGTATCATTAAGGGGGTTTTATGCAGTCGGTAAGAGCGAATGATCTCTTTGGAGAAAGGAGGTGATATTAGGTTTGTATTCTGATTACGGGTGTTACGGTAATAAGGAATTCTCTAATGGGCAAGAAAGAGCAATGTCAGAGGTTCTCAATCTTTTCTATCTGTTTAATAGTGTGAGTGGCCCGTTCAGTACGCCATATTTTCAGATTCAGATGTTACTAGTTATGAATGGTGTACTGGTGCCAACAGCTATAGGACAGGAACACTATATGGGAAAATTCCAAGGTATTGATATGTGAGAGATAATCATCAGTCAGTACTGCAGGTGAGACAATATCCATTTCAATTCGAATTAAATCTTTATATTGCTCCATGGCCCCCAGGTTGGGAACCCCTGTCTTATGCCACGATTGCGCAATTCTAATCTACTCATGAATATATCATAGTATTGATCAGATCCTATTCACCTAGTAATTCATTAATGACTATATCATATCAGTTTAGTAATATTTACATCAATGAACAAGAGAGGCAAAATTAGCAATGATAGATATGAACACTTACGCGGAGGACAGGGATCCGGGGAGAGCGAGGCCTCACCGGAGGAAGGCGACGCAGAAGGAGAAACAGTCGTCGTTGAAGTCGTAGTCGTTGTTGTGGTGGTGGTCGTTGTAGTCGTTGTTGTCGTGGTTGTTGTTGTTTGTCGTCGGTTCGGAGGTTGTCGTTGAATATGCTGTGGTATTTCCCTCTCCGTTGTCCTGAATGGTGTCTGAGGTTGGGCTTGGCGACGTCGTCTGATTCGAATCTGTGTTGGACGTCTCGCTTTGGGAGTCTGTTGGAGACGCCGTTTGCCCCGCGTCTGTCTGGGACGTCTCGTTTTGTGAGTCTCTCTGAGCCAGTTCCTCTCCTTCCACATTCCCCGCAGGAGGAGACTGGGTGCTGGCGGGGTCCGGGCACGTCCTCTCCTCCACCACGGGCGCCCCTGCAGTGGAGGTGATGGTCCACGAGTAGACCATCTCCTCGTGGCAGCCCTCAGTGCACACGGTCGTCAGGGCCACGCGCGAAGAGGGGTTGACCAGAAGCCCTGAGAAGGATGGCCGACACATCTTCTCGTCCGCACACCTGCAGGGAGGGGGGGGGGGCAGAGAGGGGAGAAAGTATGATATAATCCTATTTTTCGATTTTTCGATTTTGTTGTTGTTATGTGTATATGTTTATGTTTATGTTTATGTGTGTGTGTGTGTATGTGTATGTGTGTGTGTGTGTGTGTGTGTGTGTGTGTGTGTGTGTGTGTGTGTGTGTGTGTTGTGTGTGTGTGTGTGTGTGTGTGTGTGTGTGTGTGTGTGTGGTGTGTGCGTGCGTGCGTGCGTGCGTGCGTGCGTGTGCGTGTGTGTGTGTGTGTGTGTGTGTGGTGTGTGTGTGTGTGTGTGTGTGTGCGTGTGCGTGTGTGTAGGCCTATACATACACACCGATCTCTCTATGTCTGACTATCTATCC